CCCAGTGCAATCCCAGTCACTCTGATGGCATTCATTGATCCAGCTTACTAGAAGCTTAAGAGAGCTAACTCCTTGATTTTTTTTTTTAAATATGTATATGGTTATATATAGTTATATACATACAAAAATATGTGTGCGTGTACATATATATATATATATATATATATATATAAAATGCCTCAGTCAAAACACTAATGGCTCAATGCAAGTGTAAAGAAGGAAGATGCAAGCCAGAAAAGACTGGGGAGGAGGCAGGACTGTAGAAACTGACTCAAATTCAGAAGCAGCCATGGGAAAACACAGTGAGTAGGGATTTATTGAAACCATAACTACATACAGGTTCATTCACCCCTTAATATGTAAGTTAGCATCAACTATGTATCTGCCTTTGCAGTGGGTGAGAAGTTGTCATTTTCATGTCACTCATGCCCAGGAAATTTTGTACAAACCATGTTTTTGCTTCAGTTTTGCGCCGAGCTTCACATTTTAGTAAACAGAGGCAAAATGTTCATTAGAACCACCTCTGTTCCTTGACTGCAACATCCACTCTCATAAACTGAGTGTGTATGTTGCAGGTGAGGAAGCAGGATTGTTCACTTCCATCTGTCCGATCTATTAATAAAAGAAACTGATTTTGAAAGCCTGAAATACCTGGGATCAGATTTTCGAGTATTAGGGTACAGAACCTAACTTAACTGCTCTTCAAAATCCTGACATGTAACACCTACAACAGTTTGCCTAATCTGGTTTACTGATAACTTGGCAATTTTGAATTTCATCGATTTTAACAGAATTTACCCACCTAATCTCTTTAGGAACTTTAACAATTTTACTCACCATCTGCATATTGCAGTTGATGTATCATTAGATCAACTACTATTAAAATCTGGTTTAGCACTTTTAATGCAATTATTTTTAAACATTTAAAACACTTTTCTCTCCAAAAAAACCTCAATAAAAATCACAGCAATTACAATGTTCTGGTTTTTACTATCTTAAGACATTTATTTTTCCTCTTCAAATTATTCCAGAAAGTCGACCTAAATAAAAGCGTGTTGACATAAATTGTTAATAACTATTTAGCATTTTCATGTTAAATCAAACTGCTGAGAACATTCTTATCAATAACTGATAAAAAAATAATGTTATAGCTAACAGGCAAAAATTAAGTAAACCATCTTAATTAAAATAAAACACATTAATGAAGTTGTAAAAAAGCATGATTTTTGTCAGACTGGAATTACAAAACCAAGACATTACAAAGGACTCAGAACTTGGAATTTTTTTGGACTGACAAGCAGTTACTAAAAATAGCATGTTAGTTAAAAAAGGTGATACAATATATGGCACTAAAAGAAGAACCTTAGTGAAGATAAGTCAAACAAACTGGCGTAAGGCAACACAATACTGTGCTAAAGCAACTCTGGAGGGATCTCAACCTCAACAGGGCATTGCAAGCATACACGAGTCAAATGAGATTATAAACCTTTTCCTGGATCTCACACCTCGGGGCCAGAAGAAAGCCTCCTAAGGAGAATTCCAGAGACAATGAAGCCAGACATGGTATCCGAAGGGTAGCTCTAAGGGTGTTGTGATCCAGGTCCTGATACCACACAGCCTGCATAAGAGTCAGGGAACAGATCCATCATGAAGAAAGATTATGCTAGTGATGGTAATTGCATTGCAGAACCCATATTTTTGTCATCAACTAGCATTCGTACTGAAGAACAAAATAGTCCACAGTTCAATGTGAACTTCTCCACATGCAGCACTACATGTTTTTAGAGAGGGGAGGTGTCATTCAGCCAATTACAAACTTGTTAGTCTAACCTCAACAGCTTGAAAGGTTTATACTAGATTTTGAAGAAAATAATTAAAAACACAAAGACAAATGGAAAAGGGATCAATCATAGCATGGGAAATTTCACCTAAGTTGGCTGACATTATTTTTGTGATTTTCTAGACAAAGGAACTGCACTACATTTCACCTGAACCTCGGCTTACTTCAGCAGAGTGCCATACAAGATTATTCCAACAATGTGGAGATTAATACAAGAATCAAAGGTACAAAAGAACTGGCTACAGAAGGAGCAAAGTTGGACTGTACAAGAATGGGAATTACGGGATTGAAGGGAAGTTTCTAATAATGTTCCTGAATGACTGATTGGGGGAATGACCTAATTTGATACTTTAGGTAACTGTTTATGCACACTAGATAGCATGCTGATGAATTCTGACAACAAATGTAAGGAGGCATCAGATGGATAGATTCCTTTCAGGACATAGGTAACAGAAAACTATCAAGTTTTAAAATATAAAATACAGTTTCTTGCATAATAGAAATTAATACCAAAGTGCATAATGAGAATCAATCAGCTGAAAACAGAAGACTGGATACACAGGTCAACTATCAGACCACTACAATATGTCATATTTGACAGATTTGCTTTATTCACAGCTGCTAAGGTATATGAGGTGAGATATATCAAGCAGAAGTAGGGAAGTACCCTCCAAAATGGTATTAACACTAGTGAGATCTCATTTGGAACAAGAAATACAAATCTAGTAAAATATTTTCAATAAGAACAAATTCAAATTGGATCAAAGGCAGAGAAGGATTAGGAGGATTACTGGTAACTACTTTATGAGATGAAACTGAGACTATGGATTGTTTTGTTAAGCAAAACAAAGGTAAAGGGGAATACAATTGTTCTCCAGTAAGTACTAGTGGTGTTCTGCAGCAAATACTAAGGACAAAGCTGTTAAAAGAACAGGTATTACCTGATCTGAGTAAAGCTAAGTGTAAATTTCTAGGAATATTCCACACTCTTCCTACTAAGGCTCTGGAATAGTTTTCCCCAACACAGCCAGTGTGGATAAAAGGTTGCAATTTCAAGAAAGAACCCCGACTACTTTTGGAACACTAATCTAATACAATTTCTCATGATAATAGGCACAGGACATCTTTTCCAGCTCTGTGCTCCCAAACAATTTATTTAATACCAGATATATCTTATGCGGAATTGCCTGTTCAATCTACAAAACAGAAGTGAACAGAAATGGACTACTGGCAAAACCTTAAAAGAAAGTCACACAACTTCTCACACAGTTAAAAAAAGCTGAAATGATCAAATTTTGACTGCTACAGCTGCCAAATTTGAGCTGTCCCCTCTTAAGGCTGCAATGATGCAGCAATAAATTGATATAATGTAGAGCACTAGTATTATGCTTAATGCACACATGAGTAGATGTGTACCTTTTCTTTTCACCCGACATAGCAAAGTTCAGCCTATGAGCATTTGTCATGTTTCTTTCAGCTGTTAGAACCTCAATATCAAATGAAACTAGCCACCCTCCTCTCCTGGAAAAGGTGGCAAGCCTGATTAAAAGTATCCTAAAGCAGTATGTGATCAACACCTGGATCACACTTAAAGACACTGGGGAAAAGTATTTGCTTTTTGGCTTTAACACAAAAGATAAAACATTCAAAGGCAATATCTAACAGACTGATATTGAGAACATTTAGTCACTCAAAAGCTACTTTCAGAAGACAGAAAATGCTTCCTAATCTCAGTTGTTGCTGCTGCTTCTAAGAAACTGCTTTTAGTGTGTTTGTCTTATTCCTTCAAAAAAATAAAAAAAGCTTCCATCTACAGTGACAGCTCCTAATTCTACTAGGAGGATTTCTTTAAAAAAAACAACAAAACACACCAAAACCCACAAGAACTCAGAATCTAGATTCTCAAGATTAGCCTAAATTAACATTTTTAGTAGCATAGCTGATACTACCCAGGCACAGAGGTCTATATATACACTGTGGTTAACATACCTATGTCAACAAAAGTGCTCGTATATATGTCACATTGTCAGCAGAAGTGTTCCAATTTATTTAGCCTCTATTATTTAGGAAGAAGAAATTATGCCAGCAGGAAAAAAATTTCCCCCAATGTTTTATCTCCACTAGGATGTGCAGTCAACATGCCATCTAGTGAGTAAAGGCATCTTTCATTACTTGGCTTGACTCCTAGAATCAGTTCTGTAGTTTCCATGACAGCTGGGCACAACTTCAGTCATCTTCTATTAGCACTAACAATATTTAAAAGATACAAGCTTCTGGACAGTGCTATATTTACATAATATTTAGCCATTATAAACTAAAAATGGCACCACAGAAATGGCTAGAGATATAAAAAGGATGTTACTGAACTTAGCTCCAGCTTACTTTAAAAGATGAACTCATTTATAGCTGCTCTTTGGAAACACCTGATTGCCATTTCCTGATGCCCTGCCCCTGAGTGAAGCTCACCGAGTGGAACTGCCAAAATAACACACTGATAAAGAAATAGTTTTAGCTAGGACATTTCAGCACACAATACTTCAAGTCAAATTCTTTTACATAAATTGTTTGTAATTCTAAGATACTAACCTATGCATGACAAATTTCACTCATATGGAAAGCTGCATATGAACAAACCCAGTTTATAAAGATATCTTATGATTTCACACAAATAATATTTCAGACAGAGTATGCCATGAAATCAATGTATTTTGAAGCGCCAGACATATTACCAAAGCCAGTAAACAGTTTTAAAGGGGGGGAAACAACTCAAACCCCAGACTCACTAATGAAGTATCTAACAGCTACATGACAAGCTCTAAGAGTGAAATACCCAAACTTGACTTTGACACAAATTCCTCCAGAAAGAACAGTCATCCCTAGGAAAATGACTTGCTGTAATTTACTTCTCAGACTTCAGCTCTTCTCATTCTCATCACTGAAAGAGGTGGCATACAATGAGGATTCACAATCTGAACCTCCTTCTAGATTTTATAAATCTTGAGTGGTATCGCCAGGTAAAGACAACTGGATCAGCAATTTCTACAAAAACGTGACTAAAAACTGTATCTGTCTTCTGGAAAATAAACCAATTAGAGTATTTATAGAAACCTGAGCTCAAGCCCCTTTCTCAGCTTAAGGAGATTCAAACTCATCAGCTTGCTTCTAATGTGGTGTCCAAATCAATAAATATTAAGACTGGGACAAGAAGGCTGCTCGAATGGATTCATTGTACAGTCAGAAATGTAGAATCAACCACAGAAAATGCAGTTTTACAATAGGGTACAAAATCAGACAACACTTTCCTGATGTTCTAGACCATGAAAACAGCTTAAAACTCCTGGACTCAATGCTGTGTTGTCTGTTACATTTGCTCCAAGTCTGTTTTCTGGGCCAGATCTCTCAAAGGACTTACACAGAGTTTCTTTATTCTGATGATCCCATACAGACTTGTGTGAAAGAGCTACCAAGCTGCTCCTATCAGCCAAGATAAGAAATTAAATTTGGATGCTTACACACCTTTGTGAATATGTGGCTGCTTTATCCAGAACCCAAAGGCCTCAAACATCATTTTGCCATTTTAAAGTTACTCCAGTACAGGTTATTGTATCAAACTGCAGCTGTTCACTAAAACTCAACACTATGATGGAAGCATACAAAAAAACTATTTCAACAAAACTAAAACCCCATCATCAGATCAAGGAGATCTGCAATTGTTGATTTATTCACAAAGCACTTGGGAGCACTCTCAAACACACCTAACCCAAACTAGACAAAAGACAGGCTATCTTCAGATCTACTGCCAGCCCTCCTTTCGTTACAGTCTCCACCTCCAGTTTGGGAGAAAGGAAGTGGCAGCTAAACACTGATTATAGATGGCCTCTGCTAATTTGCTTTCTCTTTATATTGGATCAGTCTGGGTTATTCCCAGAGAGACTAATACATGTTTATGAGTGATTCCTGGATTCTCAGGGAGATTAAGGGATGTTTGCAAGTTTCTCAACTCTTCACAAAACAAGCCCAGGAAAGAGCATACCATGGGGAAGAAAACAGGTCACTCAGCAGTTATGCACAGACACACATACACCCAGCAAAACTTGTAATTTGCACTCAGTGTTCTTGTTTGTAGAAAAGACAATCAGAAAAAATATTTCCCCATGAAAAGACAGTGTAAAGACTATAAAAACCAAGAAGTTATGAGGAGGCACAGAGTTGTAAGCCTTTACAGTTGTCAATTATTCAGATATCCTATAGCTGAAGATGAAAGGACCAGTGAGCAAAAGGAAATCAGTTTTCTCATTATTAGAACACAATAAAAAGCTATGTGAAAGCTTCTCTTATTTCTGGTTCCTACTGCCTCTACCTAACAGGTAAATAGCTGAATAATCATATGCAAGGCAGAGAAAAGTAACTGAGAATTTAAAAAAAAAAATTCTAAATAAAGTATTTTAGATTTAAAGATACAGGAGCATGTTGAAGGACTAGAAATCCAGTCCACCAACATTTTAAACACAGATTATAAGACTTGATAAAAAAAAGTCTCTCCTACATGCAAGTATTTCAGCAGCATATATGGTGGTCTTGTATAATATAGATCAGTGAGATTTTTTTTTAAGAAACTATATCGAAAGCAAAGCTTAGAAGCCCTATCAAATTGACAACTATGCAGAAAAGTATTAGTTAAGAGTCCCATCTAAATTTTTAAGTTAATTTACCTGTTGATCAGTTGATGTACGTTGCTGAACTGCATCATGGCTCACAGAGCCTTTTTTGACTTGTATTCTGCCAGGTGGAGGAGGAATCACACCTGAATATGAAGCTGGGTTATCAGCATCTGAAGAATACAAGGCTGTGTGTCTTGCTTCTTGTTCATTCTTTGACACAACAAATCTGGGAAGAGGGAGGTCCTTCACTGTTAAAAAAAAAAAAGAGAGCAGGCCATTTACTATATAGAAGTATGACACTTAAAAATAAAAACGCAATTCTATTTTGTAGTTAAAATTTCACACATGCCTCAATTACTTAAATAGAGACTGCTGCTATAGTTAAGCCAACATCTGCCTGTCGGAAAAAAGCAAATAACCTTTATGCATTATACTTAACAATTCTTGCTACCCAAGGTCTTGTTTTGGTATACAAAGAGGTCTTCACATAGCTCCATAACACTTTTGCTCTACAACTCTGCATTAAATGCAGTAGCAATCAGATAATCAGGATTTAGCTCATTTTTTCTTAGTTTTGCTAATATGTAATTATTGAAAGGTGATTTTCAAAGTTTATTTACCATTTCTAGCACGTGTAAGACAGTCTTCATACAGAATGGTTCATCAGCAAAACAAATGCTAAAATACTGCAGTGCATTCAACATGATCTTTTTGCGAGCTGATGTCGTGTTTATATTTACAACAGATAGTATAATCTAGTCTTACTGAAAAAACTGCAACCACTGTTTAAACACATCTATGTACAACTTTCTACAACAGAATCTAAATTAGCTGTTTTACTGGGATAGAACTGGAAAAATTCCAGTATCACCTCACTTTGTTACCAACACCTATAAAGCAAAAGTTTCTACAAAATGCTAGGAGGTCCTCAGCTTTATGTACCACAGTTCAGAGTAGCCCGACATAAAAATCAGGCTGTGTAAGTCTTTGATTTTTCTCTTCAAGATTTCTACCATTTTTCTGAATCCCAACCATAACTTTCTTACTGGTCCACTGTAAATAAAAATAAACTGCTAATTTGCTACAGACCTTACTTGGAAATTATTTTTCCAACACAAAACAAATTTACAAGCATGGGTCAAATTTAATTTCTCTCGCTGACTGCTTAGATTGATTACTTTTGGTATGGAAAATAAATCAGCAGCACTAACAACTGTATTAAAATATGAGATGAAACTGCATATAGTTTATCACATAAAACATTTTTATGTTTATTATATAAACATCAAACTTATTTGTATTTGAAGACTGTCCTTTGAATTCATAGTATTCGACAGCTCTAGACTCCTTTATGTATCTATCCAGTATTAAAGAACAACACTTCAGGAAGAACATAAATTCTTCATTTAAGCCTCTGTCACTAAGCACACATCAGTGTGCCAAACAGCTTTCATCACAGGGAAGGAGCATGCAACACAGCCTCTTTGCTAAATTTGCAGTTACCCATCACATGGAAACACTGTTAAAGCAATTCCTGATGCCTTCCTCATTCCTAGATGCCCATTTTCACATTAGCATTGTACCCCACGTTGCATTAGGGAAGTTATTCACGTAAACTGTGAACTACAGCCAGCCAAAAAGTGAAAAAGTCATTACAGACAAGTGAAAGTGTGTGTGCTTGCAAAACAGGGTATAATACAGACACTAGAACATCCAACTGACACAAGGGAAGTCTATGCAATTGATTGCTCCCACATGAGGCTTTGGCATGAGATATCTAGCACTACTGCACAAAATAATAGAGAAGGCTCAGAAGGAACACAAAATACTCTATTGGCTTCTTTAAAAACAAGACTAGATAAATATAGATTTGTTTTACTGTACTAAGTTTCTACATGGCCAATTGAAATCTGCCATTTTTACCTCTCTCTTCGCTGTCTTTCCCCGTAACAGCAGAAAAACCTCATTTTAACACTACAACATTTGTTACCATTCAGAAATCCCTCAATTATAAATGCGATAGCTGTTAGGAACAGAATTAAATCTTGATATTGAATAAATGAGAAAGTTCTCTGTACTTGTTATGCCCACATGCTTGTCAACATTTTCTTCACCAAAACCAGTATTTCTAACTTAGAAAATAAACATTACTTTGAAACAGACACTGCACATTAGTTTCTCAATTTTTAGGATTTTTTACAATTTTTAGAAAATTTTCTGGGACAGCAAAGGTAAAACAGATTGAGAGGCTTGTAGTATAATAACCAAAGCCAGTATTTTTGCTACACTGCACATCTGAGTAATCAAAAAAGCACTTAGTTAACTAAGAATCAACTGGATGACACTTGTGTTGGATGGACTTAGCACTCAAAATTTGACTGTAGTCTTCACTCAGCAACTCACATAAAGCAAGCCTCCTGTCTGCTTGAGACAAATAGTGAACCAAAGAGCAAAAGAAACAAGAGAGAAAATACCAAAAGAGTGAATAGCATGAAGACAATCATTGAATAAAACACACATAGAATGCAGAGCTAAAAAGTAGATGTCCTAAAATATAAGCTTTAACAAATTGTATATGTTTTACTTTGAAGAGAGAAAGAATATATGGTTTAGTTTGGGATGGCTCTAACAGTTCATCTTCAAGACCTCTTGGAGATGACAGTGGGCAGAACCCAGCTGGCCAGGCTGCCGAACCCCAGTTTTCAAAGGAATGTAACCCAAGCTCAGAATCATTTTATGAGTCTTCAGCCTGCTGTATTTTAGCTGTTTAGTAGCTGCTACAACACTTGAATCATCCTAGGAGCAGGAACTTCACAGACAGGACTGGAACCACTGCAACCAAGGCAACAGACAACCAAAGCTAAAAACAGTTAGGGTAAAAATAAATGTTCCGTCAATTGTACTTGTTGTATTTAGTAGGTCTGGAACCAGTTACAGAAGTTTGTTCCTAGAAGTCTAGAACCCATTACAAGTATTTCTAGTATTGTCATGAATCAAAGAAATGTATTCCATTATGAAAGTTCCAATGGCTGCTGATTTTACAGCAACTTATTTTCTATTTTGGAATTAATTTGTACCTTCATTGCAATGCCTTTCTTCCAATTTCTTCTGACTTTTTTTTTTAAAATAGGAAAACTCCTTCCAGTTAAGGTATCTTGCCTTAAAATAAAACCAAGCATATAAAAACCCTGGAAAAAGCTACATACACAGGTTTTAGTCTTTGCTGTCTTTAACAGGCATTTGATGAGAAATCCCGATTATTATATCAAGTCCCAGTTCTATCAGATATGAAGAGTCAAAGGTCCCTTTGCAAAGTTTCTGATTCTAGGGCATGCTTCTACAACTTGCTTAAGCTTTAGATTTGGGAACACTCATCAGGAAAACTGTTCATAAATATAGGGTGGCTTATGAGCAGAAAGGAACTTGAACACTAGCAGAACGTTGACTGAAACCATGCACTTTTCCGAAAAGCTACAGAAAACCATGAAAGCTGTTTGTACAAGCCTAGAATAAACATAACTGTAAAAGCATACACAATGATTCCTTTCTTTTTTTATAGCTGTGCCAAATACATCATCCTGTCAAATAGTTTTTAACATAGTCTCCTTAACTACTCTGTTTAATCTGTATCCTTTAGACACATAAAACTCCTAAGCTTTCTTTTAATTACTAGCATATATAAACTATATCATAACACACATTCTGCAGACATAAAATCTACTAGGGAAGTCACCTTAATGCAAAGCTGTGCTCCAAAGATAGCTCTAAGTTGTGACTCATGCACTGTGCTGCAAAGGGCTACAGTGGCTTAAAACTCACTACTTCATCTTCCTAAGTTTCTTTTCATCTCACAGAGCAACATCGACATGGATCCACTTATGTCACTCAGAAAGCTACAGTAGAGCCTCATATCAAAGCTCTTTCTGCTGTTCTGAACCATCTTCCTAGAGTGTTTTTTTTCTCCTGTTCCTATTTCACTAGCCACACCACAGCTGACCTTTGAAAAGCAGGATAACAGGTGTTTTGGCTGATACCAGACTTCAAACATCTTTTACAAGTCAGTTTTTTCACTAGAAAAAAAAAAATCTTAAACCACATATCTTCATATTTGTGCTAAAACTGTCAAGCCAAGCGCAAAGGAATGTGACTTTAGAAAAGATGACCTTTCACTTGTTGCAATCAAGGCTTCATAAACTCAGAGAGTACAAAAGCCTGCAAATGTTGTGTTATTCTTTTCCTTCCAATTCACATATTAGTACTTTATTCAGAGTATAGAGCACACAAGTTCTCACATTAGTAACCTATAGAATGAACTTGTACCTACAAAATAGTCAGTAACAGTTGTTCATTTACATCATGATGAACACAACACTTAGTAAGAGTAAGGTATTTCACCTTGCATTTATTGCATAGTAAGAATACCCTCCCTCTAGTTTACCCATGACTTTTTTTTAAAGTTAGCAACATGTATATAAAGACATAGCACACTAATTTACAAGATTGCTCTATAAGAAACTGAGAGTCACATACAGTAATTCTGCTTAGCTACTCAATTCCCCACCAGCCCTGTGATTTACCTGTATTTAAGCTTTCCACTCTTAGAGGGAGACCAGACTGGGCCACAGCAACAAGTTTCAGAGCAATGTAAAATTGACTTCTTCCAAAATAGCCAAGTCTTTTTGCACCACAAAGCTCCATAATCTGAAACAAAACACATAGTTACTTGTACAAAGAAACTTAAAACACAAACTGCTCCAAAGAGATTTCATACATTTAAGAGCAGCATGCCTTGCATTAAATGCTCTTAACAACTTCATATATACAATCTTTCAGTAACAACTTCACCATGAGACATGATTCCTCACGATAAGCAAAAGCATCAAGTCTAAAACTTAAGTTTTTTCCAATTATCCACCTTTTCTTTCACCTAGGCTTTAGAGGTTCTACAGAGCTGATGCAAGAGAGTAAGAGAGAGTAACTGGGGTCATGTTCATTTAAATAAAACAAACACCACCCCCCTCCAAACATCAAGAAAGCACATAATAAACATCCTATGTCACTATTAGCTATTCCATTAGCAGCTATATTGTCTGTCTTCAGTAACTGCAACAGAAAGGGAATAGCATTCAACATTTCTAGTATTACATCGTCAGAAGTAATTCACAAACACAAAATGAAGATTTTTCAAATAATTCACAAAATTGAATAGCGTGTTACTGATGAAGTTAGAGAACTGGTCTGCCCCAAACTTCTCCTTGAAGAATTTCAATGACGAGGTTAGAATTTTTAAGAAGTGAAAAAGCCAGACAATTGCAAACGGTACCTTCCAGTCTTTTCTGATATAAGCTTGCTATAGTTCAAACTTTTAACTTGTAAAACAAACCTCTAAAGCATTCATTCAGAACATAAAGAAGTATCCACACATATGCATGGATTTTAGCAGTGAAGGAGAATGCAGAACTTCAGGTTCTCCAAACAATGCCACAGATGCTGTTTCATTTCAGAAATACAATGAAGAATCTGTGTTCTTTTATTCCCTTTTCTTACCCTGTGTTCCATACAATGGAAAGGTGGTTTTGTCTTTTGTTATGAATTTTGAGAAATTTTGGTCCCTCCAGACAGCAGCCATGTATTCAAACATACTGACTGCACACCCCTCTGCATCAAAGACCTGCAAACTTGCTGAGGGTGCAGTCCTGCTTGTGCCAGGTCACTGATAGGATACTAAGCATGGTATGTCGCAAGCCGGACTCTCTGAGCTCAATGATCCAGACTGTCTTTTTATCTACCTAGCAATCTCATCTAGACTGTAATGTTCTGAATGAGACAAAGATGCTTTTGGAAACCATGGTGAAAGCCTTCTTGAAGTCAAGGTAGATGACTCATGAGGTTCAACAAGGCCAAGTGCAAGGTCCTGCACCTGGGTCGGGGTAACCCTCGGTATCAGTACAGGCTGGGGGAAGAAAGGATCGAGAGCAGCCCTGCCGAGAGGGACCT